ATGTTGCAGAGCAGCCAGAAGCCCAGGGTGAATATAATTACGTGAGGCCTTGTGAGGTTTTACCACCGCCCGAGGACTCCTGTGCATGGGCCCCGGGCGAGAGTCATTTGCGAAAGTGTTCTGCATGAAACTAGTGCCCTGAGGCTTCTGGCCGAAGAGCATTTTTTATTTAATTTGTGTAGAGTGTGGTTTATTTTTGCATATTGAGTGTATCGATATCTTTTAGTTAGCAGATTATATTGAAGAACTGTACAGTTAAGTGCATGCAGCAACAGATCATATAAAAAATGAATGCAGAGAATAACAAATTGGGATTTCTAGGAAGTTCATGCGTGTTGTTAGTAATAATAATAATAATCAGATGTTCAGCCAGTTAGAAAATTGTCTGAAAATTATGCATGTACTGATTCTTCAGCTCTTGAGCAACTGATTGCTGCTGGCTCACTTTCTATATATATCAAAGAGATTTTTTTTTAACAATAAACATCTAAGCTGCTAAGCTGTGACATTGTAAAGTTTAAAAAGGAAAAGAATTAGAAAAAGATAAAACAGAAAACACGAGCTTTTTACTACTACAGTTAAGTGCATGCAAGAGCAGAGAATAACAAATCTGGATTTCTAGGGTATGCGTGCGGCCCTAGGGTGGTGTGTGTGTCATTTTTCAACAATCTCATGCTGTGGAAAACGTTTTTCAGGGATCCCACTTTCTGGTGGGACAACAGGTTCAAGAAGAAAAACAAGTTCTTCTTAGAGTCCTACCCGGATTTCAAACATGTTTCTACCGGAGAGAGGGATCGCCAACAGGAAAACACCAACCTGGGTCTCTGCAAAACTCGAGTCGCTCGCTGACCCAGCTGTAGGTAAGGCCACCACGGCCCGCTACAAATCTCCACATACCCCACCTGTAGCTGGTGATGAACCGGTGAGTTTAGGGAGGCTGATACACCGCGTGACAGACTCAGCTGAGAGCAAATCCCTTTCTTTGTGAAAACAAGCCCATGACGCTGTGCTCAAGAGTGATGAGCACAAAAGCAACATCTACTTGTTGACGGGATTGATCGATATGTACTGCAAGTGTGGCGAGCTTGAGGAGGCTCGCAAGATTTTCGACTCCATGGGAACTCGGAGTGTTGTGTCCTACAACGCGATCATCCACGGCTGCGGCTCGAACGGGCAAGCTGAACTTGCTCTGGAGTACTACTCTGCCCTGAGAGCTTGTACCACCATTCAACCCAACGATCGGACACATGTCGCGGTGATCAGCGCCTGCTCCAGACTTGCTACCGAATCCAGCGAGAAGAGGGAGAGAGCTCTACGTATCGGGATGGAGATCCATTCAATGCTGAGCAAGGAGAAGAAACAGCTAGATCTGTTCGTAGCGACTTGCCTGGTAGACATGTACTGCAAGTGTGGCGAGCTTGAGGAGGCTCGCAAGATTTTCCACTCCATGGGAACTCGGAGTGTTGTGTCCTACACCGCGATCATCCAGGGGTGCAACACCAACGGGGGAGCTGAACTTGCTCTGGAGTACTACTCTGCCCTGAGAGCTGATAACACCATTCAAGCTAATGCTTGCACCTACACCTGCGTCCTTGTTGCTTGCGGGAGTGTGATGGTGATCAAGCTCGGGAGGGAGATTCACCAGCTGGCGAAGCATAAAGGGCTGCTGAAAAACAATCCAGTTCTGGGCTCCAGCCTGGTGAGCTTCTACGGCAAATGCGGCGATGTGGATTCTGCTCAGGAAGCGTTTGACGAGTGCCGAGCACGGGACAACACGGGTCTCTGGAACTACAGGCTTACACTCTCCAGGGCCGATCGATCGAGGCCTTGGAGCGTTTCTATTCCATGACTCGGGAGGAGGGCTGTAAAGCTGACGATGTGAGTTTTGTCTCGGTGTTGAACGCTTGCAGCCATGGTGGTCTGGTCGGGAAAGGAAGGCAGCTTCTGGATGAAATGACCAAGCAGTATGGAGTCAAGCCACGTCTGGAGCATTATGTGTGCGTGATCGATATGCTCGGGCGAGCTAACCTCCTCGACGAAGCTGTGAGAGTTCTCAGAGCCATGTCTTTTGAACCGGATGCAGTGGTTTGGACGTCCCTGCTCGGAGCCTGCCGGAAGTGGAAGAATTACACGATCGGCAAACTCGCATTTGAGCGTCTTGTGGAGATGGATCCCAAGAGCGGCACGCCCTATGCATTGATGGCCAATATATTTGGAAACCTGGGGATGCTCAGTGAAAGGGCCGCTGTTGTGGAGAGAATGAGAGGTGAAGGCAGCTTCAGGGAGCCCGGGAGAAGCTGGTGGACGGATGTTAGCTCAGGAAAAGTGCATTCTTTTTCTGTCGGGGATAGGAGTCACTCACAGAGCGACGAGATTGCGGCCAAGCTCAAGCAATTGTTGCTGAGAATGAAAGAGGAGGGGTACGTGAGTGATGTGATCAATGTTCTAAAAAACATACCCGAGGAAGAGAAAGAGGATCACCTGTGCGGCCACAGTGAGAAGCTTGCGCTGGGGTGTGCTCTGGTGAACTCGCACCAGAAGGAGACCATCAGAATTGTGAAAAATCTCCGAGTTTGTGACAATTGCCATGCGGCCACTGCTCTCATCTCTAAGCTGGAGAAAAGGCTAATCATCTGCAAAGATGCCAATTGGGTTCATGTGTTCCAGGATGGCAGATGTTCCTGTGACAACTACTTTTGAAAACATGTCAGTGCTCTTTCTTGCAGTTATCCCTGGTTTTAAAACCCTCCGTGAGTCAAGCAGAAACATGGGCCGCTGAGTGAGCATGCTTCGTCAAAGTACCGCTGTCAACCTGAACTTCACGGAGAAAAAATTAACATTTAAAAGTTAAAACTATGCAAAAGGAAGATGACACGTTGTCTTAAATTTAAATTTCTTTTTGGTAGTAGAATCAGGGAATGCTGACTAAACCTGCCAACAGGTGCCCCAAAACGAAGCGCCCAGATTCAGATAATAAGCTTTAGTATGAAGACTTGCCGGTACCCAAACTCTTTGCTGATAGCAAGTACCGCCTCATGTTCTGGGAGCAAGGTGATGGCGGCTTGCGGCATGACCAACTTTGGGTTTGTGCTCCTAGAGCACATTGAAGACGTGTGGAAGTTGGTGATGACGGCATTTGTTTCTTGCGACGTACTCACCAGTTCCTCAGTGATGTCTTCCTTCCAGATTTTTTGAGCTTGTCATGAGTGGTGACCTGCTTGCTCTCTCCTGTGACGACTTCTTCCAGCCTCTGGTGCCCAACCTCAAGGCTCTCTTGTGGATGGAGCTAGCCCTACACAGTGTGTGTGTGTATCAACCAGCAGATGCACAAATTGTTGAGAATTAATTAGCAACAAGTGTGTATCATAGGCTTAGTACGTAGTGTACTAGTGTACATGTACATGTGTTTCAGCTAAATATAATGGGCCAAATACACCGAAGAAGTGTGTATAAGAAGAGTAGAAACAAATTAAGAAATGTAAATTAAGAAGTGCAAAAGAAATGAAAATAAAAATTGTCCATCCTCTCAGTTTGCTGAAATTAAGTTGGATTCAGCTCCAAATATTGTGTGATTGAGTTGTAAGTTAATTAATAGTAGAAAATAAGAAAAAAACAAACATTGAAAAAATAGTGTTTGATAATATCTTCTTTACTTTAAGTTTTTTATTTTCGAAAGAAAATTAGTGGGGGAGTGCTGGTAAAGATATCTTGGCCGTTCATTGGTGGTTAATTAAATGAGCATGTTTAGAGATGTTTATAAGAGTTTAGCAATTCACACATGAGTTACCCGAAAATTAAAGTTCAAAATTTACAACTTCCCTTAAAATAAAATGACCCCAACACTTTAGATTTGGTCGGGGTTTTTGAAAATTACTTAAGAATCCTCCCTTTTTTTCGTGCGAATCCAAAATACTAATAATTTTCCCATAAAAAATAAGGGTAAGTACATTACTTTAGCTTAAGCTATTGTGCAAATAGGGAAAACGTAAATTTTGAACTTTAATTTTCGGGTAACTCTTGATCCAGAGCTAAACTCTTATAAACATCTCTAAACATGCTCATTTAATTAACCACCAATGAACGGCAAAGATATCTTTACCAGCACTCCCCCACTAATTTTCTTTCGAAAATAAAAAACTAAAAGCAAAGAAGATATTATCAAACACTATTTTTTCAATGTTTGTTTTTTT